TTGTATATACAAAATAGCATAGCTATACAGCTACTTTCTCTTTGTTCAATGAAAAGAAAGTTTTCAACTAATAGTGCTTAGACAAGACATCACGTCTGCATCTTGTACTATGAATAACTACTGCAAAGACAGTATGCAATGTATTAATTATTGTAACTGCCCTACTAACCTGTTTTGAAACTGTCTCATGGCTACTTCTTTCTCAATAAAATTAACACAAAAATAAATAAAATTCTTTATATGTTCTAGATAGGAGTCCTTTGTCTAATGCACAGTCTGCTATAATTGTCTCCCACTTTATGGCTTTTCTTTTTATCTGTTGGTGATTTCTTTTGATGTGCAGAAACTTTTCAGAAAGATGACATCCCAATTGTTGATTCGTTGAGGTATTGCCCAAGTAGTTTGATTTTTGTTCATGAACTCTTTACTTACCCATATGCTTTAAGGTTTCTACCTACTTTCTCTTCCAGGAGATTTAGTATTTCAGTTTTAATATTTTTAAAGCATTCATTTTCTTATGTGTTCTATACCTTTAAAAGCCATCACAGGTTCATAATTGCCTTTGTGACAAGATCTAAGTCCTCTGCAATAAAACCATGGATGTTAGCATTTTTCTCAGGTTTTCTCCTGAGGGGTATTTTCCTCAAGTCACACGTTCTGTCACATTGAACTATTTGCAGTTTTTTTGAGGACTCTGTTCTTTACCTCACTCTGCCTCTGCACAGGTTGTCTGGACTTGGACAACTTCCTCTGTGATTTCTTCATTTATAGCACACATGAAGTTTTATTCATTTTTAAAACTTGATGTATTAAATAGCTTGTGCTGACAACAAAATACATAAACTGAACAAATTAATGAAGCTTATTGTTTCACATTTCTAGAGAACAGAAGCTTCAAATCATGGTTTTAGCAGAACCAATTCCTTTGGAATACTATCAGGAAAATTCTGTTCCATGCTGCTTGCCTAACTTTTGGAGGTTTGTGGCAATTTCTGTCATTCCTTCATAAGGAGAAGCATCTAGGCTCTGCCTTGACCTGACATTATCTTTGATTGTATTAAAAGATCCCTGGGATAAGAAGACCAGTCATACTAAATTATAGCCCACTTTAATGACCCCCATTTTCACATATTACCCAAGTAAATTACCTGTCTCAAAAAAAGTTACATTCTGAGTTACTGAATTTTAGCCTCAACATTTGAATTTGAGGGGACAGAATTCAATCCAAATACTGAAGTCAAATTAAAGTTCTATGATGTCTCCTATAATTTTTCTTACATAAGGGATTTTTATAGCAATCTTTGTGTAAATACTGTCTTTTATACACTTTTCAAATAATAGTACTGTGAATCTTAGCAGCTTGTTTATATTTGTTTTTAATAATGTGTATACTTATGTAATGCAATGCTAATATCCTCTGGTATAGTGAAAATCTGTTTGCAGCACCCAAAGCAATATATAGATTCAATGCAAGTCCTATCAAAGTTTAATGACAGTTTTCACAGAAAAAATGAACATAAAAAGTCCCAAGTGGCTACAATAATCTTGAAAAGTAAAAGCAAATTTGGAGGCCTCAAATTTTCAGATTTTAAATTATACTATAGAGCAATATTATTCAAAGAAGTGTAGAACACACAAAACAATGAATTAGAACAGAGATCCCAAAAGTAAACCTAAATGCCTGTGCTTCACTAATTCGTGATAAGGACAATGAAGAAGACACAATATGGACATGGCAAACTCTTCAATTAATCTTATGAAAATCGAGCTTTCACATACAAAAAATGAACTACAACATTATGTTACACATAAATGTATATAAATCTCACATAGAAAAATCAACTGAAAATGCATACAAAAGTTATACCCAAGAATTTACATTGCGATGTGGAAAAAATATGGAATGCTTCACAAATTTGAGTATCATGCTTGGACAGGGGCCAAACTAATCTTCTCTGTATGGTTCCAATTTTAGTACAGGTGCTGCTTAAAAAAGCACACCGCACAAACCCAAGACTTAGCATTGGCCTTTGAAAGGGTATTTTTGCATGCCACCAAATCCATATCTAACAAAACTAAATATAAATATAGAAGTAAATATAAAGTAAATACAGATTTGAGCCAGAACACAGGCCCAGTATGTGAGTGGGACCACCTGGGGCCCACCAGATCCTCTCTCTAGCCAGGGCCCAGGCATGATGTGCATGTGGAAATTCCTCCATCGGACAGGCCCAGTGTGGAACCCTGAGGCAGAACTCCCTGCAGAGAGGCTGGAGGCAACACACACACAGCAGATCCATGAGAGGAACATCTTGCCAAAGTGGAACAGCAGATTTACTTCCAAGGACTGCAGCAGGAAGAAATGGAGCACAGCAGCCAGACCCAAGCCACACCCACCTGGACAAGTTTAAAGTTGGTAGACCTGGACCTCATGCTAAGGTAATAACTATACCAAAGGTCAGAAGACAATGCTATATAAAATGACAAACAGAAGAATTAAAATGCATTATCAGGCTCCAAGCCCACGCAGAAAAAATGCAGGAGACAATAGCATAGAAAAAATTGGAAATCACAAACCTGAAATCTCTGAAATAATAGCATCTGAAGTAAAGAAACAACTGCAGAAAGGCATACAGGAAATCAGATCAGAAATAATTTCTGAAGTGAAAAAAGAAAAGATAACTATAATGAAAGAAGTACTAAGTGCTTCTAAAGAAGATACTGATTAAAAAGATAGACAATAGAAAAATTATGGAATCCTTGAATTGCAATATAGGAAAGAAATAGAATGCATGAAGCAGACTCAACATGCTACACAGAAAATTAAAACCTCAATCACAAGCTGGCAAAACTGATCCAATGAAAGTGACAATAGACTTTCATAGAAGACACCATTGCAGCTAGTGAAAAGGTAAGAAAAGATCTCTTAAAAATAATTAGGATGCAGAAAAAAATAATTAAATACCTGTAAGACGACGCAAAGATGAACAACGTGAGACTAATAGGCATCAATGAGAAGGAAGGAGTCAATACAAATGATATAAAAAGAATATGGGCAGCAATAATAGCAGAAAACTTCCCAAATATGGAGAAACAATCTAAAATTCAGTAACTGAAGCATATAGAACTCCAAATAACATCAACTCAATTAAAATCACACCCAGACATATAATAATCAAGATCCCAGAAATACAGCACAGGAATAATATACTAAAAAGCCACTAGAGAAACGAAACAGATCACATTTAAATGAAAACACATCATAATAATGGAAGATTTCTCTTCACAAGTCATCAAGTCAAGAAGAGCAAGGAGCAAAGTACTATAAGTCTTGAAAGAAAACAAAATCCAACCGAGACTGATATACCTTGCAAAACTCTCTTTCAAGTTTAATGGAGAAGTGAAATATTTCCATGACAAAGAACAATAAAAATTTCATGATGACAAAACCAACCCTACACAGACTACTAAAAGATATTCTAGGGAAAGAGCAAAATGACCAAAATTCCATGAATGGAAATGGAAAGAACCCACTAAAATTCTAACAATTAAATACAGGAGTAAAAGAGGTATACAACGGCAGTCTTTAAATTATTCCTTTGTATACAGCAGCACAATATTTCCATCAGCATATAAAGGGACTTCTCCTGCACCCTATGGGTCATGATTCAGTCTGGGTCCACAGGGTGGATATCAAGGAAATAGCAGTAGCTCAGTCCCACAAGTGACACCAGGTCACCAGTAAGCATCCTGGACACTGTCAAGGTCCACGACATACTAGAATTTTGTGCGATATCATATCCCCCAAACTGTTAGAAGTGCTGGTCATATATTTGCCATTCCAGTATTTTGTTATTTTTTTAATAATTCTTTACTATCATGAAAATTTTTTCTTAGATGATATTTTTGTGTATATTAGCTTCTTCAAATACTGCGTGAGTACTCTGAATTGATCAGAGTTTCATATATATGATACACTACATTCTACCTTCTTATTTGGACTCACAATTTAAATTTATGAATATTCTTTTCCATAAATTTATTGAGGAACAAATAGCAATGAGACAGTTTCAAACCAAACTGGTAGGACAGTTTCAATAATTAACACATTGTATATGTTCTTCCTAGTGATTAATTGCTGTACAAGATGCAGACATGATATCCTACTTAAAAACACTATTAGAACAAATTCCTCTATTCATTAAGAGAATGTAACTATATATCGATCCTAGCCATTTGAATACACGGATACAAAATGGACATTCATCTGCATCCCCTTTTTGTTGTTAAGCTCCGTTATTTGAATACTATAGGTGTGTAAACAGTAAAATATTCTAAAAGAGTCCAGTAGTCCATAATAGTATTGAGTCTTCTGCTTGAGTGGCAATGTCAGAAATTGTTGACCTGAGTCCCCTACAGCTCAACATAACACCATGGCTTTACTTCTTATATTTCATTTTTATACATTTCTGCTGGATGGTTAAGACCAAGGCAAAGCAAAATGTATACAACAAGAGTTGTAGCTTTTCGGTCTGATAAGGTCAGTGAAATCCCCTCAGGATTTATCCTGAGATCCTGTACCTCAGATTGTAGAACATTTGTCAGTATCAGCCATGTGGATGAGTCACAACCATTGCTTTGCCAGTGTGCTCTCTGTGATAGCTTGAGAGAATATTTTCTCTCCATGTGACTCTCCTTAGGCACACTCTACATCATCAGTAACTTTCCTCTTTGGCCCCATAAATTCTTGATCAGAAAATTTGGGACACTACTGAGTTACATGATGTTACAGTACAAGTTCTCATATGTCTTGAGTCTTAATTGACCTTAGAAGGCTGGGGCTAAAATGTTGGCTTTCCTTGCGGCCCTCCTTTTTCTCTAATTATGGTCTGCAAACTTAGGTTGTTAACCATCCAGAAGACAAGCTTATTGTTATTACCATACAACTTAGGCTGTTAAACTTATCCTCACTATCTGTCTGCATATCAAACATTCTAGGCATAAATGAAACAGGTATTTTTCATCAAGTATTGATATGTTGAACATTAAACCCCTACAGAATATAATAAAAAAACATTTAAAAATTAGAATATATTTTTAAAATAGGCATAAAGTATTATATACTTCTTATGTTTACACAAGAGTCCAAAAATCTCACCATATACAACCTTGAAGCAGGACAGTCACACAATATTCCTTTTGCTGTCTCTTGCTTTCATTCACTCCCCCCACCTAATTTTTGAACAACCATCTACCGAAGAGACATCCTAGCAGCAACTGGCATGTCATGACAAGCAGCCCCTATTCAGAAGACCAGAATGACAAGCACACTCCAAGCATGAAACTACTATTACAAATTACCACCTGCACTGCAGATGCTTAGTTCACAGGTATCAGTACATATAGTTAGTAAAGGTGAGAATCTTTGCAATTTACTGCTAGATTCAAAAATCTTCTGGAGATTCTCAGGATCATTGCCCTGCCTATGTTCTACATATAACTGTATGGCTTGACTTATTCATGTTTCTTAGCTCTTCTCCTTACCCTCTTTTGATTAGTTAGTCTTTGAGATCCTGCTTTCCTTTTACTTGTATAATATCTTTCTATTAGTATTTCTTCTTTTGAGTTCTTATTCTAGGGAAAATATACAATATTTACACATGTGTATGTGGCTTATTTCACTTATGAGTATATGTTCAAGTGGCATCCACTTCAATATAAAGGATTGGAGTTTATCATTCTTAATAGCTGAATAATACCCCATTGTGTAAAAATATTACATCTTTCTCAACCATTCCTCAGGTGATGGGCATCTTGGTTGTTTCCAAGATTTCGCTATCACAAATAGTGCTACTATGAACATAGGCACACATATATCACTAAGATATGATGTTTTCAGCTCCTCTGGGAAAATTCCCAGTAGAGGAATAGCTGGTTTAAATGGGATTTCCAGTCCAACTTTTCTAAATCAGAGTCTCCACACTGATTTCCTTAACGGTTGCACCAGTCTACATTCCCACCAGCAGTGGAAAAGGGTTCCTTTTTCCCCACAGCCTCTCCAACATTTGTTGTTGGGTGATTTCTTAATGATAGCCATTCTTTCTGGGGTGAGATGATATCTCAATGTGGTTTTAATTTGCATTTCACGAATGGCTAGTGATGTGGAGCATTTTTTCATATATATTATTC